GTTTGTGGGTTTTACTGTCGAACAGATGCCCTCAGGAGAAGTCTTTGTCACTTTGTCACTTTGCTGCAGGTCCCTTCCTGTTTCCTTGAAACTACCCTGCAGAGACCTCTGTCTTTACGGGGAGGGCTGCCCTGTAGATGCATAGCCTGTCTGTCGTCAGTCTTCACTGTGAAATAATTGCGATATTATTTTTTATCTTAGATATTTATTGAACCTTTCTTTTCTGGTTCATATGCTGTTGGCTGTAAGAGCTTTCAAGGTGCGATCTGAACCCATTTCACCCGAATGGCACTTGGCGTGTTTTTTCCCTCGTACCCCCCACCTGCCCCTGTTAGTGGGCTGCATTCCGCCCGCTCCTCTCTCCACGCTCAGTGCAGATCAGGCAGAGGGCCCGGGCTGAGTTGTTCGTGGGTGGGTTTGCTGTTCCTCCTTTTCTGGACTCCTGTGAGAAGCATCTGGAGGCCATTCTGTTCCACTTTTAAATGAGAAAAATATCTAATATCTATTTTGAAGCTATTAGGATTGGCTGATTCCGTAGATAGAAAATGCGTACTACAGAGCCCTCTAGGTGCTATTTTTTGTTGTAATTTTGGCTGTTCCTTTGTCTCTCTGTCGCATGGTGTGCCCCAGGAAGCAATGAACGGCTACAGAGCACTGACCCGAGCAGGACTGAGGGGTCTGGAGCTGAGTCTCCATTTAGCCTCTTGGGGCGTTTTACATCATAATACACATCAGAACCAGCATGTCAGAAGCACAAATAAAAGGGTGGGAATTCAGGAAATTTTTCTTAAGGGATAAATTTTGATATTGAGGGGGGAAATAGATAGGAATAGAAATGTTAGCCATTTTGGGGGGGGGGGGAACTTAAGTGAACTACCAGGAAATTAAGGCTTTCAGTATTACAAAGAAATAACATTTTAAATGAACATTAATTTAATATTTTAAAATGTCACAGTTAAGTGATTGTGCCTTTAATAGTCTTCTACTGCTAGGTGGGATTCAATAAGCCCATGACGCAGAATTTCACGTAAGAAGTCAGATGGATTAATTAGAGGAAATACTTGCTTTCTCAGCCATCACCACTTTTATATCGGTGATAAACTTAATTTCAAGTCTCTGAAAGGTTTTCCTGCCCTATTTTTGGTGGTGGTTCTTGGGCGATACACAGTGATGTTCACGTATCACTCCCGATGGGCTCCAGAGCCCATCGCTGACACCTGGGATCCAGCCCGGCCTGGCTGCCGGCAAAGCAAGCGCCTTCCCACTGGACTAGAGCTCTGGCCCCCACTTCCTTATTTCTTTTCTCACTTTTGTTTTTTCCTGTTAAGCAGTAGTCAGCCACTGGTTTTTATACTTACGGAAAACATTAAAAATCACCCACTAACTTTTATGCTCTCTATGAGAACATACCTGCATAGTTGTTTCAACTATGACCATCTTAAAGATCATCGTTCAGCTTACGAAGTTGCCACCTCTAAAACTAAAATAGTTGGTATACTTCATCAGAACTGACTTAAGTCCACTAATTTTGGTCACCGCTGCGACAGACCAATAAATAGTAGGAGACCAGGGAAAACATTGTTTTGTCAGTACAAACGAACAGTAAGACACAAACTGCTGGTAAGTTAGTGAAGTCACTACTTGACTGTTGGAAGGAAGATATTCCTGCAGTCTTCCCCGTTGCTAGAGAGGGAGATGCTTTTGAACCTTCCTTGTTTTCTGGTGGCGAGCACACCTGGCCCCAGTCCTTTAGGTTATAACTAGGAAAATGTCTGACATAAAACAGAGTTCTCTGACATTTTCAAATGGTTTCGTTGCCTACCTTTGTGCTCAGGAGGCCTGGGGCCCCTGCCGGTGATGGTAGAGCAGCCTTGTTGGCCAGCTGGACCAGGGATGCGGTGCTGGGGCTTGCCCAGGTGGTGCGGGGGACACCTTGTGATGCTGGGGATGCAGCCAGGCTGGGCCGCACCCAGAGCACGTGCCCTAACCCCTGACTATCCCTGGCCCTACAAGTTGGGCCTTTTAAAAAATCGTGTCAAGTTCAGAATCAGCTGTGAACTTACATCGATTTTACGTTTACATTTTGAATGAACATTTTAAAATCGTATTTACAACTGGGCACAGTTAATGTATGTCGAAGTGTACGGCTAAAGCATCTACATGTTCAAAACATACTACTTGAGACATAGTTTGCTTAAGTATGTAACACTTTAGAATTCCCATCCAGGGGGTTCTGGCATCTGAACTTTCACATCAAGAACACAGGTGGAGACAGAGTCTTGTGCTCACGTGCCTGACTACAAATGTATAATTAAGAGAGGATCAGCAGGGGGTGGGACAATCAGTGTGTTCTGATTCTTCATGTTATAGAATTACTTTGTTGTTCAACAGATGCTGCAATTAAAGCATAATTTTAACTTCATAGGGTAGTGCCTCAGCAAGCTTTTTTTTTAAATCAAAAACCAATCAGACACAAGAACAGTTTCTTGCGTTGAGAAAATTTTACTTCGTTTTTGCATCTCTATATTCAGCAGCTTCAGAAATGTGACGAATGCTGTTTTATTGAAATGTCGTGGTTAGAACTTAGTCCTGGACAGTGATTTTAATTTGCCCTAATGTAATAATGTTGGATATGTAACATTGTATTTTAAGACTGAGTTTTAGATTTAAGAATCTATTGAAAACATGCAATATTGGAGGAATTTTGTTTTATCTGTTGCTTCTTTGACAGTTTTTGGTATTGTTTTCGTAACTTCCTCAGGAATTCTTATTTGGAAAACTTTACTTGAACAAAAAAGGTAGAACCAGTGAAGGAAAAAGTCATAAACTCTTTATTTGCACAACTCTCTTCCAGAATCTAAAATTCTCAAAGGGCAAAATGTGGTGAGACTTCCTCACATGAAATATGTTTAAGATAAAGTAATTGGAAGTTATTTCAAGTATATGAGTAGAGAGTTAGTATCTGTGTCCAGTTTTTGACTCCTTCACTAACTTATGATGCTGTCATAGGGCATTTTCCTTCATTTAGGTATTAAACTCTTAAGTAATAAAGATTTAAGTTCATATCTTTAAATCCTGCCAGTGTGCAATAGCAGTTAGGTTACAGAGCATGGTCTGTCTCTGGAACTTGGCCAAGGAGGTGTGTCCTCGTTCAGTTGTTAGTAAGAACGGCACTGTAGCACTGTCCTCCCATTGTTCATCGATTTGCTTGAGCGGGCACCAGTAACGTCCCACAACAAATTGTGAAACTTGTTGTTACTGTTTTTGGCATGTCGAATACGCCATGGGTAGCTTTCCGGTAGCTTTCCAGGCTCTGCCGTGTGGGCGAGATACTCTCGGTAGCTTGCTGGGCTCTCCGAGGGGACAGAGGAATCGAACCAGGGTCGGCTGTGTGCGAGGCAAACACCCTACCCGCTCCAGCCTGTTTGTAAGGATAGTAACGATTTTTCCCAGTGGGGAAGTGAGGTCTTTGTTCTCAGTAGTAACAGCAGGCAGGCAGTGCTTCGTAAAAGCCTACTTGCTGCGTACCCCCAGTATTGCTTTCATCTGAGAGACTGGCTCATTTAAAAAAGTTTCCTTTTCAAGAATATCATTGATAATTGTATAGAGAGGCCTTATAATCCAGGTGTGACTATTATGTTTGTATGCTACTAGTCTTTTGTTTGCTGTTTAAATAAAGCAGTATTTCATTTTGAATGGTTTCTTGATTGTGGAGATTTGGTTACTCCTTAGGAAAAGTTCAGCTAATATTCCATTCTTCGTCCTCGCCCCCCTTCTACTCACTCCTCTTCCATGTGCTGCTGACTCTGAGTCCCGTTTTCTCGGAGAGCAGCGCAGTGGCATTGGCTCCTTCTACCCTGAGTGCAGCTAAGTCCCTGGCCGTTTTGCCACGCTTTCCAGCTGCTGAGCTGTTTCCTTCTTCTGTATGAGTTTGTACGTTTAAAATTAAAACTCTGTAGCGTCCTGGAAGAATTTTAGGGAGAGAGTTCAAATGCATGGTTACATTAATTTTACCCTCTTTTAAAAGTTTATTTTGAAGTAAGCATTAGGGTTTTTCAAAAAGTTTCACTGGCACTTAAGTTGAATTAAGCTGATACTTGTATCAAAATGTGTTTTACAGCTTCAAAATAAATTTCTTCAGTGAAGCATGATAATTGTGTGACTTCGCAACTGTGTTTAGTTCTTTCATGCAAATAACATTCTCTCCTTTTCCTGGGACAGGAGATAACTTTAGCATGGGTCCAACCTAGTTTGATTCTCAGCACCACATGGTGTTCCCCTGGCATTATCAAGTGGACTGCCCCTCCCCTCCTTTCCAGAAAACTCCCTCGGTCTCTGTCTCTCCCTCTCCCACTCCCTATTGCTCTGAGGTTTCTGCACTGTACCACAGAAAGGGCCCAGACATCCCGGGTACCACAGGACCCCAAGCACAGTGTCCTTGGACCTTGCATTGAACCCCTGGCAAGGTTGGCCCAGAGTCAAGGTGGGGCCCATATGGACTTCCTGAGCACCACTTGGGAGTACCACCCCCAGTGCAAATAAAATACCGCTTTTAATTTGTTCTGTGAGTTTGGGGGGAGGGGGCAATACTTGGTGATTCTCAGTACTCAGGAGTGAGCCCTGCAGTGCCACTTGTATTCACTTAATTTCACACATAAATTTGTGTCTATTTGAGATTTTTGTTCATGTTTCTTCTCAGATACATTTTTTTTTTCTTCTCTGCTTGCCTGTTAGTTTCTAGTCCTTCTGGGGACTCAGCCTGGCACTTCTCCCCCCCCACCCCCTCCGGGAATTAAGGGTGGAGAGCGAGAGAGTGTTCTGATGTTCCGTTATCTTGACCAGAAGCAGAAGTTTCGTATTCTTATGGATGCGTGTGCTCCTCCAAAGGTCATAAAATAATGCAAATGTGGCTTAAGATAATCGGCGAAATGTTAATATAAAATGAATGATGCACTTTCTCTGGGGGAAAAAGTGATGGTTTACGTTGTACATCTTTTCAGGAGGAACAAAATAGAGGCAAACCCAACTGGGAGCATCTCAATGAAGATTTACATGTACTGATCACTGTGGAAGATGCTCAGAACAGAGCAGAGATCAAGCTGAAGAGAGCTGTTGAGGAAGTGAAGAAATTGCTGGTACCTGCAGTAAGTACTGACTTCCAGTTCTGACCCTCGGGCTTCAAGTTCTTTTCAGTTTCATTTCATATTAGTATTTAGTTCATCATTTTATATTAGCTTCAGTTCATCAATGTAAAGGTCTGCTTATTTTTTTAAGGAAATGTTGAGGCAGTAAATCCGATTGGTGGCCCACTTTATCTTACCTTTTGTACCACTTACACAGGTTCATCATCAGGATAATAATGTCTTCCTTTTTCTTTTTCTCTCTTTCTTTCACTTGGGCTGAAAATGTTCTTGTTGTAAGAAATAGAGGGTACATTAATCTGTATAACCAGTGTTTATGTTGAGTGAGCACTGGGAGTTAGGAGCTCGTTGATTGAATTGTTTTGGCTTCCATGGTCTTTCTTGGCATGTTATCTTCCCTTGAAAGGAAAGGTCAATATTTTATAGTGAAATTTCTCCTGATAAAACTTTCTTTTAGAAAAAATAATTTTTTCCAGTGACCCAGGCACCATTCTGAGGTCTCTTGAACACTGAATTCCTTTACTATGTTTTCTAAAGATAATAAAAATATAGTAAAGATGAAAAGGATTGAAGTTTGTATTTAGGGGTCTTCAGTAAGATAAAGTAATTTTATTTTATTTTTATAAAATTGCTCGGAGAGCCTGGCAAGCTACCGAGAGTATTCGATATGCCAGACACAGTAACAACAAAGTCTCCAATGGAGACGTTACTGGGCCCGCTCGAGCAAATCGACGATCAACGGGAGGGCCTTTACCTTTACCTTTTGTTACATTTAATATTTCAACACCAATCCCACCACCATTACTTGTACCCATCACCATATTTTGAATGTCTCCACCCTGATCTCCAAACCCTGCCCCCCGAAAAAGGACCTAAAAATTTATTTTGTATTGCTTATTATGAATAATCCACTAAAAATGATCCAAGGTTGAGTCTTGTGTGATTACACACTCACACACTCACACACTTTCATTGCTTTCTACTTTATACCCCATCAAATGTGGTGTGCACATTTGGTACATCAGTAGTATAGAGTATGAGATGTCTAGAAATTCTGAAATTTTAAATACAGTTGTACAGCTGAGGTTAATTATTTTTATTTTTTTTTTTAAAACTGGATGGTGACTTTGGGGTCTTGAGGCATCTTTATGACTATCATTCTGTGTCGTTCTCTTCTGAGAGATTTATTTGTGAGTTTCTGGATCATGGCCATTAATGAGTTTAGATGGTGCCAGAGGCAGTTTGTGGGTGTGACTGCCAGGCTCCCAGAAACACAGGGAGATGTGCGGAGATCGCCCATTCCAGACTCCATGGGAGTGTGGAGATTTCAGTCATGGGTCCCGCATACCTGGTTTTTTCAGCAGTTTCATTCATGGTTGAGACTCGTCCGAGCCTGTGGAGGTCGGCCAGTAGCATGGAGGCAATTGAATTCTGGAAGTTTTCATCTTTCTCCTGCATCCCCCTCCTGCTGTCTTCTCCTTATTGTTACAGAACTTTCTGTTAAGAAATGATTCTTGAACTTCTATTTATCTTTTCCAATGGAAATTTAAAAATCACGGATTTTTTTTAACATGGAAATTCAGCATATTTTATATTAAATTAAAAATGAATTAATATTCCTGTATTTGGTCTTTTATTTTTTTTTTGAACTTTTATTTTTTTTTTTTTCAAATCTTTTCTTTCTTTCTTTTTTTTTTTTTTTTTTTTTGTTGTTTTTGGAAGGAAAACTTTATTGAATCTCTGTGACTTAAGTTGTTTTTCTAAAATGTAGTTACTAATAACTCTAAGAATAATAATGCATACATGAATATAATTTTTACATTTCATATGGTTTACATAGGAGGAAGTATAAAGAAAACATAATGAAAAATATGTATCACAGAACTGAAAAAGAAGTATATAGATATCAATGAAATCTGGGCTCTGTAGCAAGCAGCATAGTACAGTAAGTTATTGAGAGCAGATCCAAGAGTAAGCCCTGAATAACAGTGGATGTGGTCTCAAACAAAACCAAATAAAACAGTCCAATAAGGTTATTAATAAATTGTTCCACATATACAATATGAAGAGTCTATTCTATTTTACAAAAAAAAGCTAGCCAAAGAATGTAATAGAAGGTGATTTTTTTTTTTTTCCCCCTTTATTTTATTTTATTTTTTTAAAGTTGTAGATTTACAATTTTTTGTGCTTTGGTTTCAATTATACAATGATCAGATACCCATCCCTCCACCAGTGCCCATTTTCCACCACCATGGATAATATCCCTCCCACCCCCATCCCCCCATCCCCCCTGTCTCTGTGGCAGGTCAATCCCCTGTGTTCTCTCTCTCCTTTTGGGTGTTGTGGTCTGCAAAAGAGGCATTGAGTGGCAAACATGTTCAGTCCATAGTCTACTTTCGACATGCATCTCCCCTCCTGGGAGGATCCTCCAAACATCCTTTATTTGGTGCTCCCTTCTCTATCTGAATAGCCCTTTCCTCTAGGATACCCGGCTGGCCTCTAAGTTATGGAGTAATCCTCCTGGTGCTGATCTCAGCTATTCTTGGGTATTAATCTCATACTTTGTTACTTTATATCCCCCAGATGAATGCAATCTTTCTATGTCTATCCCTCTCTTTCTGACTCATTTCGCTTAGCATGATACTTTCCATATTGTACCACTTGTATGTAAATTTCATGACTTCATCTTTTCTAAGAGCTACATAGTACTCCATTGTGTAGATGTACTTTTTTTTAATAGTGAGGCACCATGAGGTACAGTTGTAGACTTACACATTTTTGTGCTTGGGTTTCGATTATACAATGATCAAACACCCATCCCTCCACCAGTGCGCATTTCCCACCACAACGGATCCCAGCATCCCCTCCCCCCTCCAGCCCCTATCCCACCCTGCCTCTGTGGCAGGGCATTTCCCTCTCTCTCCTTTTGAGTGCCATGGTCGGCAAAAGAGGCATTGAGTGGCAATCATGCTTGGTCGACAGTCTACCCTCAGCATGCTCTCCCATCGTGGGCGGATCCACCTATTTGGTGTTCCCTTCTCTTTCTGAGCTCCCCCTTCCCCTAACATGAAAATCACTGATTTTCTAAGTCACTATTAAACTTTAGTCTTGGGGGCTGAGGGTGGGTCAGACCTGGCAGTGCTCAGGGGCTCTTCCTGGGTCTGTCCTCAAACATTGCTCATAAGCAGCGCATTGGAAGGCAGGAGAGACGAGTGCTTTCTCCCGTACCTTCTCTCCAGCCCTTAATTTTTTTTAAAGTTACTATGTGGCAGTTCTTTTTAGTGGTGGGGGGCATATTGGGCCACACCCTCTGTATTCAGGGTTCACTGTGGTAGCCTGCAACTTTCTCTCCAGCACAGTGCTTGATAGTTCTTCTACGGAATGCTAACACATAGTCCAGAGTTAAACTAAACTCTGTATTTGTACAGTTTAAATCATACCATATTTTTCCTTAATAGGTAGGCGGTATTGGGAAGTTATGTAAGAAAGTGTGTATTCCCAAACATACTGGATTTGCAAATTCCATGATCAGAAAATATTTTCTAATCAGAAATCAGACATTTAACTGAAAGATTTTCCTGGTCAGAATCTGACCATCAAATGAGAAATTAATATTAAGGCAGATTGCTGTGTTCAGATGAAATGCTCAGCTCATATAGTAAAAGTAATAATTACACTAGCAAGAATGAGTACGTGCGTTCACCTCACATAAAATAGACCAATGTCTCATAGTTAAAGCTTACTGAGCTATTAGGTTATTCTAAGCATTTTGAAAGCTATTTTAATTCTGAAAGGTAATAAATTTTGCTTTATCTCTTTCCTCGGTTACAAAATGAGAGTTGGAGAAAAAAAAATTTAAATCCTTGTAGCAACCGTTTTGGTTTTTCTTCCCTTCCCCTTTGGAATTTTGTGCTGCGCCTACCAGTGCTCAGGGATCACTCTTAGAGATACTCTGAGCACTGCATGTCGTGCAAGCAAGATAAGTTTTAACCCATGTGCTATCTGTCCGCTTCCACATTTTGGTTTTAAGATTCTTTTGGAATGTTAAAAGCTGGGAATAGATAAAAAGTGAGGAAAGCTTTTAAAAAAATTATATTTATAATTATATGTCTCATGTTTATTATATCTATGTAAGAGTACATGTATCTATGCATACTTACATAACACACATACATATGCAAAGCTTAGGTCATGCCTCATATTTGCTTGCTCAGAGGCTGCCTGGTTCTGTGCTCAGGGTTCACACCCAATAGTGCTCTCAGTATCGTGTGGTGTGAGGGGCGGTTTAAAATTTACAGGAAACCTCGTGATAGTGTGTAGGTCCTGTAGAATCCTTTTACTATTAATTGCTTCATGTGAAGCAATAAAACTTTCTTAGCTATTCTAAGTAGAATAAAATTCTTGAAAATGTTGTGTTCTATAAGACACTTTAGCCTTGAAACAATTGTATATTCCCATTCAAGTAGATACATTAATTGTGTAACTTGTTTGTTGCATCAGGGAATGTATTTTAATTGCATTGCACAGTTCTGATTATTGTACCATGGTAAACAAAGGTGTTGGACCAACCTTGAAACAGTTTAGGGTTTTACTTAAATGGTTAGGAGACAGAATGCAGAATATATGAAAACTGATTTCTGGATTTGAATCTCCTCCTTGACTTTTTATTGTTTTCATTTCTTCATCTGGGCTGGAGCGATAGCACAGCGGTAGGGCGTTTGCCTTGCACGCAGCCAACATGGCCGACCCGGGTTCGATTCCTCCGCCCCTCTCGGAGAGCCCGGCAAACTACCGAGAGTATCTCGCCCGCACGGCAGAGCCTGGCAAGCTCCCTGTGACGTACTCGAAATGCCAGACACAGTAACAACAAAAGTCTCCAATGGAGACGTTACTGGGCCCGCTCGAGCAAATCGATGATCAATGGGAGGGCCTTTACTTTACTTTATTATTTCTTCATCCATAAGATTAAAATACTGTTGGGCCAGATAACAGGTGGAGCACTT